TATATAGTTTTTATGCTATTGTCATCCTTTTTTTTCTATTGTCATCAAACTTTTTACCTTTCGATATTTCAAGATATTACAATACAATATTCGATATTACAATATTCAAGTTCTATAATTTATAATTTTCCACAATCATAATATTTAATTTAAGAAATTACTAAAATTATTTTAATTTACAATTTGTGTAAATGTTTTGATAATTGTTTATACAAATCATGTTATTTTTGTCATAGACAAATATACATTATGTAATTATAGTCTTCGTTATAATTTTTTTCTTGTTATTTTCATTCCATTCAGCCTATATTCTTGTTTTTGCTATCAATGGAATTTTCACTTATTTGTTTTGTGCGTGAGAGAAAAAGGTGATATTATGGCCAGTAAATATAATCCTCTTAATATCTCTACTAAGTGACAAATTCTAATGATTACTTATAGAATTATATTTGCTTAATATTTTGCTTAGTAAACTTGTCATTACATCATACTAATATGCCAATATGCTACAATCAACATTTATAACGTATTTTTACTTTCAAATATTTTAAAACATTTTGAAACGACATATTTTAGCATTTAATTACACATACTTCCTCATTCTTCTTCAACTTACACATATTATCACACGAATATATATGTATACGTTTGAGTGTATTCTTTGTTATTTAACATTTTATTTGATTGTATAAACATTTCGAGTTATGCTGAATTAAACAATAGTGTGACATATTGCTAATGTGGCCTCCTAAGCGTGCTAGCGTTGCTGGCAGTCTCTTTTTCAAGGGTTTTATAAATAATTATTCCATAAATTAATTGTAGCTGTACTATTAATTTATAGTTTTTATTACATATACATATATAGATTTTTAGTACTGAACAGCCTATATGCAGAAAGAATTCTGTATACATATATACAGTGTATGCAAATGTATTTATATTTAAATGTATGTACATTTGCATAATTTGAATACTCTACAGTATTCTACTTTACTTTTTTGTTAATTTTGTAATCAAATATTGTTTTTTTTTTAAAAACCAGTTTTTTAAATATATTTTTATGGAAAACCATATTATCATCTCTGTTCTTTTTGAGTCATTATGTAGTGTCACATATATTTATAAATAGCGTCCTAAGTAATAAAATATCTTAAATAATAAAACATTTGATAACTTTCAGTATAGAATCGAACAACATTTTGACAAATTTAATTGTTAAGTTTTAAATTTAAATATTGATTATTAACTAAGTTATTATACAAAATATAAATAGGTGTCATATCACTTTTTCCTCTATATTTAGTGTTCAATTTATATATTTTTCTAAAACAAGATAGATTAACGAGACTAATCACTATAAGAACGCATTTGAAACTAAGTATTTAAGAAACTGCAATAATATCCTAATTGACACGCATAAACCAAACTTTTCTTACAAGTAATATAGATATGATTCTTTCCCTGTATAATCCTGGTGAAAATTTATTGAAATTTCACTGAAAATGAATTTTTCAGTTAATATACTGAAAAATCACTAAAATTAAACTGAAGTTTCTCTGAAATTTTGCCGAAATTTCTCTAAATTTTGCTGAAAATGAATTTTTCAACTAAAAATCACTAAAATTTTTCGGAAATACCGAAAAATATTTCAAAACGTGTAATAATTTCAGCAAAATTTTTTCGGATTATACAGGGATATACAATAGAGTCTCTCTAAATTGACTTCTGTAATCTTTGCATTCCTCACACATACTTTTACAAGCACTAATGTCATACCCTTCCATTTCATGGTAGGCTGGACATGTGTTGCGTGCGCATCTGCACCTAATTGTACTAGGTTCTCACAATGTATGCAATGTAATTCCATAGGCAGGTTATAATTATTTGTGTAATTTGTGTATTCTTTTGTAATACATAATATGTACATATAATTTGTTCTGCTAAGATTATGTACACTGTAATGTACTTTAACAGATTAGCAACAAATACGTGCGTTCGCACAAATACGTGATGATTGGTAGACTCGTGCTGTAGAGAGGATATTCTATAATTTTGGCATTCCACTCTTATCGCCCCATGGGTCAAATTTAGAGACTCTACTGTATCAACTAGCAAATGAAAATGGATTAAAATGGATTGAAATTTTTTTCTATCCAAATGCATATTTTAAATAGCGAATACTTTTTTTTTGGATTTAATTGGATTCAATTGGACTCAATTAGATTCAATTAAATGCAATTGGATTGAAAAACTGCATTTCTTATTCAAAATTTTTAATTAAACAATATTCATTAATTGTATGTGTGCACAGAAAAAAACTAATATTATTTTTAGATTGAAAGGCATAGAAATATGCTTCATGCAATTCCTACAAATAAATAAAAATGCATTCAGAATTGAAAAGCATTTTAACATTCGTGAATCAATATTTCTGAAAATCTGAATCCATTTCAATTCATTTCAATCCATTCTCGTTTGCTGGATATTTTATTTTCGTGAATCTATTTCTTTTTTGTTTTCAACTTTCTATTTTGTTTTGTTAAATTAAAAATGATTAAATCAAAAAAGATGCAAATCCTTATCTAATTATAATCTTAAGTTAGTTTTTCTTTTTATTTAAAAAAATTAAACATTGTACTGCGAGAAAGAAATATATATTTTAAGTAATTTTGTTTTATGTATCGATGTGTGCATATGTTAGTTATAAGTATACACATATTCAGGGAATGGAAAATTACTTTTTAAAAGTTATCATAATTAATGATATTCGTTATCAACTCAAAAAAGTTATCGATATTAAAACGATCTGTTATTTTTGCATTGCTTTTTTAATGCTGAAATAAGATCAATCTAAAAAATTTTGAAATATTTATATTTATTATTTAAATTAATAAAAGCAAAAATGATATTAGGTTGATTTCTAGGAGACAGTAGTGTCTCGGCGCTAAGACATGGCGCGAGACACTGCTGTGGTTACTTTATACGAGCCGACGAATCACAGGAGACTGAGATTATCATATCTCAATATATAAGGACAGAACCAATCACATTCTATATTGTGAAAACACAACTAATGTTCTTTTAATTCGAGTTAGAGCTTTGTATATAATCATATTTCAGACTAAATTTATATATGTACATATCTAGTTTTACAAACTACGCGCCGATTAAATTTTCGGTCGGTCCGACTGAAGTGATATTTTTCATAATAAATTTTATAGTACATGACATCGCTTACGTCAATTAATATGGTATTCATAAGCAATTCTTATATTTGCTCATCTTAAGTACAATCTTAAAATGTCATAATCCAATCAAATAGCCATATTAATATTTTAAGATGGTCTTAAAATAAGAACGGATTATTAAATCGGCCTAAATATTAGTATTTATAAAGTTTGTTTTTATGTTAATACAGCTCTGTGATTGGTTTATGATATTCTTAAGGGATCATAAATCAATCACAATGACGTATTGGGTATGGGAAAAAGTTCGTGGCAATTTTTTAGTAAAATTAAAGTGTTTTTCTTAGAGTATTGAAATCAATTTATTTAAACCAAATATGCTCCATTATTTTCTATAATATTTTGCCATTTTTGGGGCAAAGCCATAATTCTATCGCGATAGAACTTCTGTGGTTTTTGATCGAAAAACTGCTTCAAGTAATTTTCACAGGCCTTTTGAAGCTAGCTTTACATCATTAAGAGAGTTCTGCAGAGACCTAAACAAATGATAGTCTGAGGGTGCTATGTCAGAACTATACGATGAATGCATTAAAACTTTCCAGTCAAGCTCTCGCAATTTTTGCCGAGTCATCAAAGATGTGTGTGGTCGAGCGTTGTCGTGATGGAAGACGACACCTCTCCTATTGATTAATTCTGACCGCTCCCTCTCAATTGTAATCTCTGCAATTGTTCACAGTAAAAATTCGGAATTAATTGTTTGATTAGACGATAACAGCTCATAGTGAACGATTCCAGTCCCACCACACACACAACATCATCTTCTTCCTCGTCCAGATTTTGCGATTGCTTGCGCCTTCTCTCCTTTCTTTATCCATCTTTTTCTAGTTGGATTGTTGTAGGTGATCTATTTTTCATCACCAGTTATCATTTTCTTCAGAAATGGCTCAATTTCATTCCGTTTTAGTAGCGTATCACAAATGTTAATTCGGTCCATCATGTTCCTAACACTCAACTTGTGAGGAACCAAACATCGAGCTTCTTTTTGTATCTAGCTTTGTATAAATGATTTAAAACTGTTTTGTGGTTGATGCCTAGTTCCCTGGCAATCTCCACAGTGCTAACATGCTTATCATGCTCGATTTTTACCATGATTTCATCGGACTTTTCAGTGATTGGTTGACCGAAGCGAGATTCATCTTTCATCGAAATTTTCAGCACGAAAGCGAGCGAACCATTTCCATGCTGCTGATTTTGATAGAGTATCTTCACCATAAATAGCAAATTTTTTCACAAGCCTGTGCAGTATTCTTGCCTTTATCGTAGTGATACTGCAAAATGTAGCGAATTTTTTCTTTATTTATTTCCATTTTCAAAATAAAATAATTTTTGATCCACTTCACCGATTTCAATCTTTTTCGGCTCAAAACAAAGGTTAAAATGTCACTTTTTAAATGCACGTCTAGTGTTGCCGATGCGATTAGTAGTTGCCGACTGCTGAGCATTTAATGCCATCTAGCGGGAAAAACGCCACGAACTTTTTCCCAATATTAACATCTTAAACCCAATCTTATATCCAATATTAACATCTTAAAACATTACTTAAAACAATCTTAAAGAAAAAACGAATTACAAATACCGGCCAAAAATTGAATGTAAAAAATTATATCATAAATAGATTCAAAAAACGAAAAATAACTATAAAAGTAACTGTCAGATTTGTTACTGTTACGAAAAAAGTGTAATTATGTTACCATTACAATTACAAAAAAAATTACCAATCAGTTACAAAAAAGGTAGTTACTTGTAACGGTAACT